AAATACCTCATAGGGAGCACCTAGTGCGTCACCAACAGCTGAACCCCATAGGCTGCCCTTGATACGGGATTCAAGCAATGCTTTCATTGTTGACGATCGGGTAATGGGACGAGGCATCTTTGCGTGTGATAGGTGGTATTTATATCCAGTCGTTGGTGCCTGGAAGTACCGCTTTGACAGCGCCAAGATAGAGCGCCCGAACCGAGGCAGGATTCAGCGTGGTGTCATCGAATAGGCGCCTCAAGATGGTCGTACATTAGAGCATGATAGCGAACGTTTGTAATTACAGCAGTGTGCGAAAAAAGTGCCTAAAAACAATTTTAAATAGAATACGGGGGGCATCAAGCCATCAATCGTCTCCTTCGTTAAAGTTCCGATAATTCCCTCTCTCTTGTCCTCCACGATTTCCGGGGACGTTCTTGTTCCTGCATGTATTTGCATAATGCCCTTTTTGTCCGCACTGTTGGAAAATAAGGCTCAGCTGGCGCACATTGCCAACAATAGAGTTGTCTCACCTTGAAGCATAACACTTCGTCCAAGTTACGCCGTGGAACAAACCCGGGGTTATTGGCTCCAACAACAAACCCACCTCCCGGGCCGCTTTGCCCGCCTCCGTGGTCAAATCGTCCGTACCCAGGAGGCGGTGGCCCTAGATCACGCTGGGATGGTGGTGAAGGTGGTCGATACGCTTCAGGTGGTGGAATATCTGGTTTAGGACTAGTTACCGGGTTGGTGGGGTGATCTTGTTAATGAATGATGTGCAAAAAACTCACTGTCCACGCTTACAATCAGGACCATCCGGACAAAATCCGCTCAGATACAACTGGCATGCGACACGTCGAACATGCTTTCGGGGGCAATCCGGACCTATATATCGGGGACGTTAATGAGTCTTACAATTAAGGCTAGTCTCCACATACCCAGCTTGCAAAATCCCCGCTGGTAATCGGGACACTCTATCTTTCGCTCTTTCGGATGTGCGTACAAACACTCGTCCCCAGCCGTACATGTCCCATGCCGAGCAAACCACCAACATTCGGGCATACGCCTGAGGTTGTACTCGTGCAAGAATTCACACGCGTCTCCCTTTTTGCAAAGCCCGCGGAGCCAGTGTTTACACACGGTGGCTAATCGGTCACGGCCGAGGTTCGACGACGCCTCGGGAGGGCCGAAGTTCAACGGGCTGGGTGTCGTATGCCTCAAAGGACAGTGGAGCGGCCCGAGGGGACATCCCGCCGGAGTTAATGCAAGCCGGCATATTTGTTCATCTACAAAGGGAACGCAGTTAGTCTGTTTGTCTAATTTTTCTTATTGGAGTACGTTACCGGTGTCTAGTTTTAAACCCAATTGGTTCTTGATGTAAATCTCGATGGTCGAGTTTACTTGGTGAAAGTCAGGATGAACGACGTCAGATAGCGCTGGAGTTTGTGCTAGCGGGTCTTGGGACTGAGCAGCCATGGTGGTTGTGCTCAAGTGGCTAATTGGCTGGTGGCGGTGCTTCCCCGCAAAATAGGTCACGCTCGAAACTCTCAAACTCGCAACCCGGCTCGGACACATGCTAGAAGTGGCTCTTTGTTACAACGACCATGCGCCATAAACTCTGGGCCAACGAATATTTCGCTCATGACGTAGCCCAAGCCATGCGCTCACGCCAATTTACCATTTACTGTATTATCTTTTGTTGATGGCAACTGGATACCGACAAGTACGCCCGATGTTGTGTGGACATCGAATGGGTCTGGGCGCAGCTATCCCTTGTGCGTTAGTGGCGAATTGGGTGATGTAATTTTACTTTTCTTTGTGTGAACAAAAAAATTGATTCGGCACTAATATTCGGCCTGAATCGGTCTGTTGCAGATGACGGTAGACATCAGTAGTATCACATATGCTAGTGCGATAAATCTTTGTTCTTTTGGTCGGTTGTCTTGGTCGACGAAAAACGTGTTACGGTGTACGGGAGTGGAACCGGAGAAGCACAGGGTCTCCGCCGAAAACTAGGGTCCTGTCTCGCCCAAAAGGTGAGCTGTAGTAAACCCTCCATTCAACGCCTGTCACCAACCGTGAGGTCAAAGACTCCTCCCCCGCGTCGTTGTCCAATCGCCCGCCCCGTCCTTTGCTCGTGTGCTTTTTCTTGTAGGGTCCTATCGCCGCCGTCTGGCTCTGACTTAAAAAGGAGACATCTGGCCGACACCAGCCGCCCAGTATTACTTGCATCTCCCCTTCGAACGGACCTTTTACGCTCTCTACGATGACTACAATGCCATATCTGGTGCGGTACACCTTTTTCATCATAAATAGACTTCAGAAAACTGAAACAGTGCATACATAGAAGGGGGACAAGGTGTTCGCCAAGTACCTCAGCGCTGAGCCGCAAACATACCAACAGGTTCGCTGGGTAGCAGGTGAGAGTAATTTTGGAACATAAAAAAATGTCCTGTCTGGGACATTATCGCTTTCTGCCAAGCTTTTGGGTGGCTAATACCGTGGGATTGTCCATAGGTACCGTTGTTGATATGAAGGAGGTCAACGGGCACTGGATGTACTCGGTGCGATTGAAAGATGGCGTAAGTTCTGCGGTAATATTAGCGTTATGCTCTTGTTCTAACGTGCCCGGTTCCTACAGAGCATCATGCCCAACGTATCAGAACGTTACAAGTGTAGTAAGCGGGCGAGTTTTTCACACAGTGCTCGTACTTAAAAAACTGCCATTTAGTCATGCATAAAACTCCAGATAACTACCATGCACTATTGTACAGCGGTTTCACAAACCTGGACCCGTAATGAGCTCATCGTCTGTCCCGTCTGACCCGGCCCCGATCCCAAAATCACTACCCTCGATCTATTACCACATACTGTACAGTTAAACTTTCACTCATATCTCTTCTTGTATCATTCGCTTTCTTCAATGTTGTCTCGTTACCTTCTTTCAAAAAAGTGCTGATGATGAAAAGTCTATCAACGGTCCAGCAAGTGGTTCCGTTCTTGCCCTTTTTGGTGAAAGCATCACATGACCAATACAGTAGCCCGACTCATACTTCCAATTTAGTTCTATGTCCGGTTTCATCCAATATTGTCGGAATGAGCGCCAGTAAAAGATTTTATGTCGCATAAGTGTTTAACTAACTGGTATTTGCTTGTTGCAAGAGGCAATAAAAAGCTCTCCCAGTTAGGATCGAACTAACAACCTTCTGATTACGTAAGCATTTGCAATTCGTCTGTACATGACAGAGCATGTCTAACAGTCAGACGCGCCACCGATTGCGCCATAGGAGATGTTTTGAAGAGCCCAAACTAGACATCCAGATCCTAAACTTTATTTGTCTTACCTTGGGTACGTCATCTGGTGCGATCACTCTCCTTTCTGCGGCGATCACTCTGGCATGGCAATCAGACTAGGCGCCTTGCATTCTCTAAGAGGATCCCTAGCACTCAATGCACGGCTGCAGCCTCGGACCTGTCTGGGCCGTCCCTTGGGTATATCTGCACCTTGTAACCTTCCGTTCCGGGTGGCGCATTTGTCAACTCTACCTCGACCATGTAACACACCTGCGCCAATCACCAAATCACCAATTTTAACCCTAACTCGTGGCCTTAGAAGTGCTCTCGAGCGAAGTCCTATCAGACGGATCTCTCGCCCGCTTCGACCTCCGTTTGGAAGCAGTAGTGGCAATGGGTTTGTTGCGCGGTGGAGGAGACGGATTGACAATACAAATCCAGACCTCATTTTTTACACTATCATCGGAATAAATGGGGTGGTGTTTATGGCATGGGCCTGGGGTCATGAAAACTTAGTGCGTATCACCCAACCCTGTAGTACTATACCTCACACAATTTCTCTCGCAGCAAAAGTTCAGAGATCCGGGGCCCCTCGTATTTATGTACAAAAACTTCACCACATCATTGCAGAACGTTTTAGATGGCAGAATGTGAGCTAAGACCACAGCCAGAGAGCTCCGCGTACTAATTACACCCTCCACTAGATGGACTCTTTTAACGGCATGCTTTTCTCACGAAGCCACCGGCCATCTGTTGGTGAATGGGATGTCGTTCTGGTAGGTATCATTCGGGTTTTAGATGAACATCTAAGCCGATTTCTTTCAAGGTTTATGGCGCCGCCTGTGATGCGCATGCTGGGTAACTCGGCATTCCTCGCACTTTATCTGGGTGGAGGAATTGCTGCTAGTGCCTTTTCGCTTGCCTGGAATGCTGTCATGTCGCATCGATCCGTAAATGCTCACGGTGCTTCAGGAGCAATTTACAGGTATGTCCACGCCGAGCAATGGCTCCTCGCTGCCCTAATGACCCATCTGCAGTGTAATATCACTATTTGCTTGCGTGTTTCCTCAGACTACTTTCCTGTTATTCTTTGTTGTCCCCGTCCCAGCCTGGTTGTGCGTTAGTGGTATCTTTGCCTGGGATCTGTATGGAGCACTTCGGCGTACGGGTGGGATGACTGATAGTGCAGGGCATATAGGTGGTGTACTCGCAGGGATAGCATTCTTCCTGAGGATGGGGGGACGTTTTGGCAGGTAGACGTTGATATGTCGGCCTAGTGGCCGAACTAGATCGGAGTGCGCTCAAAACCCAGTTCATGCTCATTTGTCTACTCACCCTAGTATCCTCAACCCCGGCTCAGTAACTAATACACCCAATTCTAATTTACGCAATTAAAAATACAGTTTGATGTGAGCTACAGCCTCCTTGTGAGAGAGAGCCTTAGATTTGGGAGGGATGCATACATAAATAGAATACGATTGAGTAAAAGAGAGCATAAATACGAATATATGCGCCCCGCACGGCCCGCAGAGTGCCAAGTGCTGCGATAGAACGCAATCGAACATGGGCTGTGGGGCTGTGCAATTGCGCAGGCGACAAGAATGACGAGCGCAGTGACGTCGGCAGTGCTCCAACCGCATATATAAGCCTCGGATTCTGAGCTCGGACCCGTTTCTTTCAACCACATCGCACCCGAGCAATGTTCCACAAATTACAAGCCAAGGTAATGCCACTCTTGTTAGTTGCGCCGCCAGTCATTGATGTGTGTATAGGCTCAAGCAGCTCTCAACGCCCACCGCGGGTCGTCCGATACCGACGATCATGCTTCCGAACATACTCAGTCCACGGTGCAAGGTCATAACGACCCTACTCAGCCGACTCAACAAGCTAGTGGGCGTCACCATGCCCTCGATAACATATCACATACGTTGAAGACACTTCACACCCAGTATTCGTGAGTTTTACGAGCCTATGTTGTCAAAATAAGCACTCAGACGAAACCATCGTCAGACCGCAAGTCCGCCCTGATGCTCGCCAGCTACAGCTTGTCATTACCAGTCAGAAGGGCGTAGCAGTAAGCCTTTTGATTAGAGCAAGATATAGCATGGTCTAACTGCCATTTATAGTTGGACTTTGACGCAGTCTCGCGCGATTCCAAGAGCCACTCCAAGGAGCTGTACCTCTGGGGTCAGGACCAGGTCGAAGACGTCAAGGATGGTGAGTGTAATCCATACTCGTCAGGAAGTCTCTTAACTCTGTATCATAATAGTTTCCGATCGGATTGCTTACCTTAATTTTGTGCACGGCTCCCTTGCCAGCGACCTTGCCCAGTCCTTGGACACAGCACGCGCATCCTACAAGTCCCTTCGCGACGCTGAGACTGCGCTTCATCCGCGTCGCACGAATCGCTCCAATATGAAGGCGGAAATCGAACGCATCAAGGCTGCCGGATCTGCAGGCAAGGCTCCTCCCAATGGCGCTGAGCGCGTGGCCGAGTTACAGAACCAACTAACGAAAGCCGAAACCGATGATGCTCCTCAGGAGCGCGAAGTTGCACTTCTAAAGCGTCGCGCTCTGGTCGAGTGCGAAAAGAAGAAGTGGGCCGCTTTCAGGGAATACGGTGCCAAGCTCGCACTACTCGCGGATGCGTCCGAAGCGCTGCTCGCCGAGCTTCCAGAGCAAGAGCCACATGGTGCATATGGAGGTACCGCGAATACTGCCCGGGTCCGTTCACAGCTTCAGCACGCACTCGACACTTATACGCCGGCGCATGGACAAGCAAACCAGTTCAAGAGCACTCCACCAGCTGGTTCGGGCGTCGGAGTTGGCGCAGACACACGTAGCTTTGGCGAGACCCACAAGGATGAGCTAGACAGTTTGCCTCCAACCACACATCCTACACCTCACCCTGGGTTGAATACTGGACCTGGAGCGCTCGCAGAGCAGCGGTTCGGATCACAACAAATCACTGCCAGCCCCTCTGACTCTTTGCCCATCGCCAA